ATGCGGTCGCGATTAATGACGTCATTTATGACGTTTCGATCGCGACCACAACGATTGCGATCGTTATGTGGAACGGATTTGCAAGCGTTACAAGCGTTGCGAGCGTTAAGTGGAACGTACCCTATATATCTTATCGATAATTGATAGAAATTTAAGATTTTAAATTTCGCGGTTATTTAATATCGATAAGTTTTGAAAGTCGATTAATCGCAATCGACTTCCGTGACTCATATCTCGTAAAAACAGCTGGAGAGGAACGAGATTAAATGCAAGCAAGTAAGAGAAGTAGGATTGTCTAAACTCTAAGTTGTATTGCAGCTGTTGCGAGCCAATTACCGAGTACGGATTATCGTATACCGAGTGCATACGCGGTTAAAAGCTCCGGGAAGGCAAGAACGCGAATTTCATCAGAGTTGCAAGATGTTTCGCAGTTCAACGAACTTTGATAAATTATTAGGTAAGCTTCTTTGAAATTTGGTCCAAAATGTCGGAGCTTTCTAAGTCATCATTAATCACTCGCAGATAAGGCGACGAGTCATCTGCAGTTAGAACCAGATTGGCCTACAATCATGCAAATTTGTGATCTTATACGTCAGAGTGATGTTCAGTAAGCATTTTTATAAAAAGTACACTTTCATTTTTTAATTATCTAATTAAGATACTACGACACGTTATCGAGATTATACTTGCATTACTTTTGAAAATCTGTAATAAATATATTAGATATTATCACTATCTATTTTTAAACATTTATATATTTTAGACCGAAAATTGCACTTACGGCTATAAAGAAGAAAATGATAAACAGTAATCCGCATGTAGCACTATACGCCTTATTGGTAAGAAACATCATAATTTTTAGAAGAGAGATTATTTTTATATTATTTTTATATTATTTTTGTATTATTTTTATATTTACATTTACTCAGGTATTGGAATCTTGCGTGAAAAATTGTGGGACATTGATTCATGATGAGATAGCTACCAAGCAATATATGGAACAGCTAAAAGAACTGGTTAAAACCTCGCCACACGAAAACGTTAGACTAAAAACTTTAGAGCTGATACAAGCTTGGGCTCACGCATTTCGTAACAGTCCTAAATATAGGACAGTTCAAGTAATAAATTATTTGCTGTGATTTAATCATCAGTATATAATTTTGTTTTTTGTCTATTTTTATCTTTCTAATGTTTATTTTTCTCAGGATACATTAAATATAATGAAGGCTGAGGGTTATCAATTTCCTGTTTTGAAAGAAAGCGACGCTATGTTTAGAGCAGACACTGCACCAGCATGGGCGGATGGTGAAGTGTGCCATCGGTGTCGTGTGACTTTTGGCATGGTTCAACGGAAGCATCATTGCAGAGCATGTGGTCAGGTCTTTTGTGGCCAGTGCTCGAGTAGGGCTTCTACTTTGCCAAAATTTGGAATTGAGAAAGAAGTACGAGTTTGCGAAGCATGTTACGAGCAAGTTAATAGGTATGGTGAAATTTCTTATTTTATCCATCATGACTTATATTGTTTCGGATAGTTTTGAAACGTCACGGTTTTTCAGACCATCTACAACTCAAACCAAAGATACTGACCTTCCAGCAGAATATCTCAAGAGCACTTTAGCTCAGCAGCAACAAGTAAGTACTTATATTTTACTAAATAATAAATATATTGCAATAATATTAAAATTACATGTAAAAATCACATAAAACATTATCATTTTTTTAAATAATTTACAATGAAATTGTCAATTTTTAAAAATTAAATTATCTAAATAATTGTGTGTGTGTGTGTGTGGGTGTGTGCGCGCGCGCGTGTGCGTGCGTGTATGAGTGTGTATGTATGTGCATAGGTTATCTTTTACTTAATTTGAACCTTAAATATCTTTGCTATTCTAAATAAGAAGAAAAAATTGAAGCTACGAAATTTTATGATTTTAAGAAACACATAATGTTGTGTAGTAAAATATGTATAAGATGCTGGAGTTAAGTGGAACAACTTGTATGTTTAAGACTTTGACTTAATTTATAATTAAATTAGTAGTTAAACATGGCTTCTCCTCCGTTGTCTTGCACGCAGGTACTTTTGTCCATTATTTAGTTAGAATATATATATTAAGATTATATTATTATTACTTTATTATGAAAATATATTAAATTTAAAGGAAAGAAGCTTTTCTCAAAAATAATTTTAATTTAAATTCTAACCCAATTATTGGAATAATATTGCATATTATATATATAGTAATTCATTTTTATTTATTGTGTACATATACATATGTATACATACCAGTGAGATATATACATTCTGGAGTGAGCTTTAAGGTGGTGAAGATGCTGAAGTGTGCGAGAGTAGTGTGAGAGTGACAGCCATGCAGCTTGAGGACGTCTGATATCGTTAAAGTGAGGCAGACGTAATCGCGGTACTCAAATCCAGTAGGATTTGAAATCCAAAGGTTAAAGAAGAAGAAGAAGGCAGACATCCCCAAGCCACATGGCTCACTCTTGCACCGTCGGTTATCTCTATCACACATTTTCTTAGGGAAGGCTCACTCCAGTACGTGTGTATATATAAAATAAAATGATACATCATGCGCATTACGCGTGAAACGGAGCCATATATATATATCTTAATGATATATATATGTATATTATATTTTATATAATTTATATTTATATTTTTATAGGTCCCAGCTCGAAAAACAGAAGAAGAACTGCGAGAAGAGGAAGAATTAAATCTAGCAATAGCCTTAAGTCAGAGTGAAGCTGAACAAAAAGAAAAAGAAAAGAAACGTGCTACAAGCGTTTTAAAATCCAATCCAACTCCCATAACTAGGACAACATATTCTCCACCACCATCACCTGTAAGTTTTTCGTAGCTTTTATTAAATCTTACATAAAATTATAAATTTATTAAAACAATCTATTTTTTTGTTATAATGAATCGTGAAATTATTATTTAATATTTTCTGTAAAGTGTTCCAATTTTATCCTAGATATAAAGTTTTAATCTAATTTTTTTCATTAGGGTCCTAGCCCATTACAGGTACAAGATGATGACGAGATCGAACCTGAGCTTGCTAAATATCTAAATCGCAAATATTGGGAACAAAGGCAGACTGTAAACGAAGAGCATGGATCAAGAGTGGATGTGACAAGTCCATCTGCACCTAATATAAGCAGTCCGATGCCCCAAAAACTTGTTGTAGTGAAACAGGAAAATGGTGAAATTGATACTCAAATGGAAGAATTTGTAGGTGGCCTAAGATCTCAGGTTGAAATTTTCGTGAACAGGATGAAAAGCAACTCCTCTAGAGGCAGATCGATTGCTAATGATAGTTCAGTTCAAACTTTATTTATGAATATAACAGCTATGCATTCTAGGTATGTTAAAAAAATCAAACTATTAATTTTTTATTTCTAATATATTGGATTTTTTTATTTCGATCACAGAAAATTATTTTTTTTTTGTAGACTGTTAAGATATATTCAAGAACAAGATGATAGCAGAGTGTATTATGAAGGTTTGCAAGATAAATTAACTCAGATGAAAGATGCTAGAGCTGCTTTGGACGCGCTTCGAGAAGAACATAAAGAGAAATTACGCAGAAGAGCAGAAGAAGCTGAGAGACAACGGCAGATGCTGATGGCGCAAAAATTGGCTATCATGCGAAAGAAGAAGCAAGAATATTTGCAATATCAACGCCAATTAGCTTTACGAAAGATTCAAGAACAAGAAAGGGAAATGCAAATGCGTCAAGAGCAACAGAAACAACAGTACATAATGGGTAATTTTTTATTTTGCTATTTGCAGTTACGTATTTTTTAATCTTTTTATTTTATCAGTCATTAATTTTATCTCTATTTTCTTTGCAGGAGGTTATCAAGCAGTTCCAGATTTTATGGGACCTTCTCAAGGATCGCCTGTTCGTCATGTCCATTATCCGACTCCTGGAGCTAATTACAATCCAATGTCACCCACAAATCAAGGAGTTTATATGTATGGACAACCGGCTATGACTCAATATCCTATGCAGAGTTACAACATTCCACCAATGAACACTCTGCCGGTGCACATGATGCCATCACTTCCCAATCCGGAACAACAATCATCAGATTCATCCATCCAAGGACAGGAGACTATAGGTCGCGTGTCTATCTCGGGCCCAGGAATAGTAAGTCCGCGAACTATCTTTTTGCCAGTCTTTCTATCAATAAAGATCTAAGATGCAAATATTAATTTTTGCAGATGCCGCCCCAAATGACACCACCTATTCAACAGCTTCAGCCACCGAGCAATCATCAGATCGGATCTCAGCAAGGTCCCACGATACATGTGTCACCGGGACAAGCTTCAGCGGGCAGACATATATCGTCTCAACAAGGCGTCACATCTCAAATGCCACAGCAGGTGGCCCCTCCGACTCAAATCGGACTGCCGCCAATACCTCAAGGGCACATGGCCCCTTCGTCAGGTCCGGTAGCTTCGAGTAATCATGTACCTACCGGCACTGTAGTTGGTCTGCCGCCGCAAATAGCATCGCAACAGCCATCTACCTTGTCTGGCACTCAAGGATCTGCAATGTCAGCGCATGTTTCCAACGCTGCTATTTCGTCTCAACCTTCAGGTGTTATTCAAGTGCCTGCCGGAGCTAGCAGCGGACCTGTTTCTGCAACAAGTCAAACTTTACCTGGTCCTCAACCGTCTGGTGTACCGACAATGCAAGGAATGGCTCAAATTCCTGCTGCGCAGCCAATGCCATTTCAACCTGTACCTCCAGTCTCAACTACAACCAATGAAACTCCGCAAAATTCGGAAGCTACAAAACCTAGAACAGCAGAGCTAATTTCTTTTGATTGAGCAAATTATGTGTGAATATTATGCATACATATATATAATACTTTTAAAGTAACAAAAAAATTTCACTTTTTTTCTAAATTAAAACATTATAAAGTTAACAGTTGCATATTTTACCGAATGAAATTTTACCTCTGGTAATAAAATCATAATTTTACATTTGTTAATTATTGACATAATAATAAAATGTTTTTATGAAATATTTCAGAGAACAGAAAATAAAATACGAATGTGTATTTAAAGGAACATTATATTAGCAGGATAGAAAAGATATGAATCCGTTACAGTTAGTTTTATATACATACATTGTGCAATTTATGATACCAAACAAAACTGTTTCTTGCTATCTCGTTCTTTAAAAAAATTTGTTTATAATTAACATATATCTATGCATGTACAGGATATGTTTCAACATATGGAATAAAGATACGGTTTCTAATATAACAGTTGTCATATAGTGTATATATTGTTATATTCAATTCTCAAATATTTGAATCTTATGCTTTACAGTCTTTCACAAAAGATGTTTTTTGAGACTTTAGATATAAATGACTGATGCTATATATCTAAAGATTTAATTTTCTTTATCTTTTTAAATTATAGAAAAACTATAACCTCTCAAAACAAGGATATATACATATGAAATAATTACGAGAATTGTTGCACGATTTCCTTAGCATTAAAGTGATATTTATATTAAACAGCGCGAATAAATTTTATTTAAGCTAAAATGTGAGGTGAGTGAGAGATAAGAACAGAGCCTCAGTGATTTCTAACACAAAGAAGTGTAACAATGATTCAACAATATTATTTAATAACTTCTCATTTTTTTCCTGTTAATCATAAAAGTTGTTACTGAAAAAAAATTCAATGTTATTACCATTGCATATTTGATAAAAATATAAAAATTAGTTTTACTAGTTGTAGGATAAAACATACTAAAAATTTTTTTATTAATTTAGTCAAGCAGGCTCTTTTTGCTAATTCAAACGTATGGCATATACACATCTTCATTTGTCCTCTAAGATTTTTTTTTAAAGATACGTTTAGTTTGAATTATTAATTTGCCAAGAGTTAACTGTTTTAATCACACAGTTTCTACTTGGCCCTTTCTACGTGGCTTTGGTTCTTGCGGAGATGTGAAAGACGTTTCTTCAGAGTGTTTCCTAATTACAGACGTTGTCTCGCTGTTATTTGAGCAGGCACCTTGACTATCCCTCCTTTCTGGACATATGTGCGCTACATTCAACCCATTGGACGTAAGAGAGGCTTTCCGAATACACATGTCCTCTAGAGGGATCTCCTCGCTCCGCGGCCTTGGCATCTTGGGTGAACCGTCTCTAGATCGTAAACCGTTTTCATGAATCCTTTCGTTCGAACTAGCATCATCGCGTTTGGAACTCGACGATGCCACCGGCCTAACATTCTCCCTACGCATTTGTGCTGCAAATCCAGGAACTTTGTTTACCATAAACATCGGTCTCGCTTGATCCCTTTGCAGTCTCTGACCACGTCCGATTATACCTGAAAGAATTGAATTGAATTCATCACTTACAATGATTCTGCGCGGACTAAGATTTCTAGCTTCAAACTTACGTTCATGTCGTAAACTACGCAAAGCATAATTGGGTGGTGTCGAACAATGCGGTATACTTGTTGGAATATCCAGCAATCTTGCGATCTGATTCATCTTCTTTTGTCTTGCTTTTATACGTCCTTTTGTCAACCTAAATTATCATGTGACAATTTAATTAAATTGAAAATATCAAAATATATTGCGTGCGTGTGTGCGTGTGTGTGTGTGTATATGTGTGCGCGTGCATGTGAAGCGTTACTTCAAGTTTGCTACGAAACACCAACCTTTGTTTGGCTGCCATACATCGAATGTGATCATCGAAAATAAATTTAGCCGACAGCAACGGTATACGATTGCCTGTACTACTGCTTAATGGTTTGTAAATTGTTAAATATAAACATCTTGAATCATCCTTGTCACCAGCCACATCAATATCTTGTAAAAAACCAACTAACTTTGCAACACCCCATCCGAGCTTACTGATGTCAGGTTCCACAAGAATCAATTGCACAACGTCAATAACTAGGAAACGACGAATTTTCTGGCCGTCTTTCCACACAACAGTGCATGCAATCAAATCACTGTTATCTGTAAACGAAATTTAAATAACAAATCTTGTGTAGTTCATCTAATTTTTTGTTATACTAGAACATAACATGCGCGCACTACGCGCGCGCCATTAAGCTTTTGAAACTATTAACTTTTATTCTATTTTCTGATCAGTAATTTCAAATTTGAGAAATATACTTTTTTACAATTAAATTTCTTTGTTAATATATATAAATACTAAAAGATTATAATCCACCTTTTTTCAAATTTTAAATATTCATTAAATAAATTATGTTTACTTTTATTGCTTTCCTCCAAGAAATAGTAAACATTCAATCCAACATAATACGCTAATTTGCCAACCATAGTTTATCCCTTTGTAATTGATCTAATCATTGTTCTTTTTCGTTAATCCCTAATTCCAAAAACAATTTTCTCTCGTCCTTTCTGTATCAAAAGAATGGTAGAAGGCTATCATTTGCCAACCATCATCTGGTAGATAGCATGGCGCGTTTTTTTATACTGGTCTCACGCACACACGCATCCACCCACGCACACACGCATCCACTCACGCACGCACGCACCCTCACGCACACATCTATGTGTGTTTCAAAGAGGCTTCAAGAACTTCGAGATTCGACTATAGATTTGACATGCCTTTAACCAATAAAAATCACGGAAAAGAGGCTTCAAGAACTTCTAGATATTCAAGATATTCGAGATATTGATTTAACATGCACTTTTTCAGATAGAAATCACAATCAATGAATAAATGAAAAAGATATTGCATGTCAAATTAACATTATCACTTTTTAAATAATCAATCATATGTATGAGAAAAATAACTTACTTAGATCAAGAACATTGTTAACTTGTACGCAATTAGCCGGATTAGTCAGTGGTAATTGAGTTTCCACTTCCATATTGAGTGTCAGAGATAGTTCTCTTATCAGGAAGAAAACTCTTATTGCGCGACGTGCCCTTTCCACCTGTATAATCATTTATGATTTTACTCTCTTACTATACAATGTTATGTTTTCATATATTTATTTAAAAATATATTTTTTTCTGTTTACCTACCTCACCACATGGCAGCCTTTTGCTAAATTCAATGCCAGTCATAGGTGTGCCTGTAGGAGGCAACAAAATATTGCTGTCCATCATTAACCACTCGACATTTAACGGTCGTTTTTGTATTTCACTATATTCGTCCTCAAACATGTCCAAAAAAATATCTTCGCTCTAAATAAAATTGATATATTTTTAACAAAATACCACTAATAGACAAGAGGCAATGAAACTTGCGCAAGTATACCTTAGTGTAATTTCAATAAATTCACACACCTTGTAGAAGTTTTTTAACAGAGATGTACTTTGTTCTTTCGCTGCTTCAATGACTGCTAGATGCGATTCTCGTAATAGACATTGTCCTTCAGATACTGTCAATTGTGTCAATAGCTTAATAGTCAACTCCAGGGTAACGAGCCTCACTTTAGAATCTAACAAAGAATTGATATTCTTACAAAATTTAAAAACTTTGTGTTTGCAACATGCGTAAACATTAAACTTGTAAATTATAATGAAAAATATTGACACGCAACTCACTTGTTTGACAACTCAAAGTTATAATATGAATCAATCTTTCCATGAGTAATTCATTATAGGAATTTTTCGTCGACGTATTATTATGGAATGGAGACAAAATTATATCCAGAATTTTACGACTTATACCCTAGTAAATAACATAATCTTATTATTATTATATAAAAATTACATTTAGAAATAAGACAGACCACTGTCAAAATGTATAATGGTTACCTGATTATTAGCTAATGCGTACAATAGGCAAAGTGCGAATAATGCAGCATAATCATTTTCTGTACATAATAAGGAATTGGTTATTGTTTCTAAAAATGGTTTTTTTGCTATAGAATCGAATATGACTTCATTTTGACTTTGATGAGGCATCAAAGGGCTCTCCAGTGCCAAGCGTTGCTCTTTCTCCTCATCTGTCACATTCAATTGCTTAATTTCTTCTAGATCCTCTTCACTTGGAATGCTTGTATCTAGTGGCGTATTCGTAAGAACAGGTGTATTTACAGGGGTAGCATCGTTAGAAGCATCATCAAAAGACGTGCTTGGGTGATCAAATTCTTGCAATTCGTCAATTACATTTTTAACCACCTCTTTTATATTTATACTGCTTTCTTGATTGTAAAGTTCTTCAGACATTAAGTGCGTTTCATTTAGAGTTTTCGAAGATTTTTTCAATGTTTCTTTTGGCGGTGAAAAAGTAACAGACTTATTCGACGTTATATCACCGAATTTTTCCAGAACTCTATTCGTTCCAATTTGAATCGTCTCGAAATCGGACATGAGCATTACAGTCGCTAACGTATGTACAAGAGGTCCGTGTGACACTATCAAAAAGACTTGAGAAAGTAGAAAAAGTGCTACCACAACACTGACGTGTTTTCTCTCATCCTAAAAATTCAAATTATTATAAAAATATATTATTATTATACACAGTTTGGCTATAAAGTTCCCGGACTGATTTTCCATAGAAATGTACAAATAGCGCTATATAACGATTGAATCTTTTAGTGTAAACCTTTCTCTAAGTGTGCCAAGTTTCATCAGTCTACGAATCGTTGTTTTTATAAACAAATTTGTGACAACTCTAAAAGAACAACATTACGCGATTAAGTTTTGTGTTAAAACTCAAGTAGATCTAAAATAGTCACCTGGCAACTGGTTCAATACAATGTACCTCACAATGCAATATTGGTTTGTCACTTTCTCGCCGCAAAAATATAACACCCCCCCCCCCTGTGCCACACCCCTCTTCCCATATTTCCCTGATTTGGCACTCAATTATTTTTATTTCCGAAACTAAAATTGAAGTTAAAAGAAAAACGTTTTAACGACATTGTGACCATTCAGAAAAGTGTAACCAGGAGCTAAGTACACAACAAATGATTTCAAGCGCGACATAGAACGATTGCAGGAATATGTCATTAAGTGTATCTGTATCGAATTAGGATGTATGTAGAAAATTAAGCAATAAAATTTTACAGCGAATTCTTTTTTTATAAAATTAGTCCAGAAACTTTATAGCCACACTGTGTATATCAATATTATTATATAAAAACAAAAAAATTAACAATATTTTTCAATCGATAGAATAAAATACTACACATTAAATATATTAAATATCTCAAAACATGAAAAAAATAAACTTTAAAAAATCGACTCGTATTAATTATTCATGTAATAAAAGAGATAATTTTATTCTTACCTGAGTTTGGCACAAAGTGTTTTTGTATTTCATCAGAGAATAGACGTACAATGGGACTAATAGTTTATGTAATAAATGTTCTGATAGAACTTTGTTCAAGTCCGGTATATTCAAACTTAAAATGTCATTTAGATAATGCAGATGATCCAAATGTTCTGCGACCAGATCTGACAATCTATTTTGACTCTGATGACTAGAAAGAGAAGCATATTTTATTATTATTATAACAGAATAACACAGATTAATACAGAAAAAGATATTTTAATATCGATGCTTACTCAGCATCATTCCGAACACAGATGTCCAATTCTATAATGTGATCACCGATAAACCACACGAGATTACTGAAATATGGCGCAGCTGTGCGATCCCTTATGAAAGCTAGCATAGACGCATCCTCGACGCGATACACATTTAGCGTCAAAGTTCTCACAGCTATGCGCACCATACCTTCCGAATGATTGAAAAACTTGATCGCTTCTGTATACAGTGGGAAATCATTGGTATGCTAAAGAAAGAAAAACATACTTATTATAATTTTGTCAATGGCAGTAAATTTTAATGGACAATTCCAATATAGATATGTCTAAATACATCTTATTAGAGATTTTTTTTATTATTTACACAGAGTGGGTAAAAAAAAAGGGAAAATGTTAAGAGATAAAATAAAAATTTGGAAACTAATTTTATTTGAATTACATAAAATGTAACATGCTACATATTACAAAATACCTTATCATTTTATGTTCTTAGTCGTGACGCTATCGTGATAATCTACACATCTTGAAAAGAACATTCTTTAAATATCCATCTTTTGAGTGCATGCATTTTTTGCAATCCCACCCTCCCTCGCTCTCTCTCTCTCTCTCTCTCTCTCTCTCTCTCTCTCTCTCTCTCTCATGACATTTCAAATCCTTATATCAGGTGATATTTGCAATTTCTTTACAAATATTTAAGTTCATCAATACTTCGAGGTTACACTCAAGAGGTAATGATTTGAAGATTGACATTTTCAAGATGCAATGTTATCAAACTATGCGACAGCGTTGCAACGCCAAGTGCATAAAAAGATAATTTGTAAATGGCATATCATTATATTTTGATGTAATTAAAATTAAGTAAAGTTTTTATTTTATTCTTCTATATTTTTTCATTTCTTTGGACCACCTTATACTATACAATTAACAAAGTTATAGTTAAAAGATAAACACAGAATATCATTACGCGTGTGTACCTCGTTTACCTCGTTATAGAAGAAATGGATTGTATGTGCGTTTAACTTCAAACTCAATGTTTTTAGAAAACTGATATAATATGCCATCACTTCTTCATCGCTAAAGTCAAATTTGTGCACTATTATACTGTTCACGTGATTGTTACTTAACAGATAGTCTGAAAACGCGAAATTTTACAACAAATTAATTACTTGGTTTCTTAACATAAAAAAGAAGTCACTCATAATATAAAAAAAAAAGGTTGCAAAACTCACATAAGGATGTCTCATTGCGTATGTTCTCAAACAAAATATTTAACGTTTGAAGCAATTGAACGCACACATAACTCCCACATTTCTGCTTCATAATACGCAGAAAAAATGAAAGCATGTTCTTCTCCAGGAAAAAACTGCAAATATATAATGTATCCCATTAGTCGTGTTTCTCTAAATTTCACATGCCAAGTTTATTAGTTTCATTTATTAATTTTGGTTCTAAAATAATGTCATCTAGAAATGTCAACGGCTGCGCTCAGCAGAAAAAGCAACTTTGCAACTGTCGCAAGATTTTTTTAAATATAATTGATTTTTGTCTATAATTCCTCGCTGGATCTAAATGTATAAATCAATCGTATTAAAGAATGCAGTTATACAATTGCAATGCTGCTTTTACTGCTGTGAACATAGTCAATAAAAAGCTTATCTTTACTTACTCAAATACGCTACTGTCATTTTGATCGCCCCATATGAGAATCTCAGCTATCGAACGTAGAGTTTCGACCAGCAAACCTCTGTTGTTCTCAGACACGGTCTGATTCTTCGACAAGACATTGTATAGGTATCTAGATGCAACATAAATAAACACATACTCGTAAGTATACTTTTTCTTTTTAGTGATGCAACATCGACATAAACCATCTGCCGACAGTCTGCGCATACTTAAGGTGCTCTGGAGAATGTGGATTTTTGGGCTTCCAAAGTCCGCCACCGAACCAGCTCCGACTACGAAACATTTTCAGTTATCTCGAACGAATGCGTCTGCATTCGCGTTTCATCCAAGCTCCACCTTCCGCACGGATGAAAACTCTTTTCCTCACACGACACTCGTAGAGGTGTACCGTTTCGTCGAGCCCATGCCCATCGTATGAAGGAGCAGCGTGAACTTTACATTTTTACATTGCCATATAGAATTCAGGTTAAGACTTTGATGATACTCGTAAACGAGTCGTCACTGATTTATTGTATACACGATTAAATTAACATTGTCCTGTTTCATTATTCTCAGCTGCAGAATACAAATTTCGTTCTCTTGGTCAACTGTTGAATTTTACACGATGCAAAATAGAATTTAGGTAGATTTGACCTCCACTTAAGACTTTCACGACTGACAAACTACCATGTTGAGTTAGGTTAAGTTAAAGGTTAGGTCAACGTCTGATTCAACTAGAGTTCATTTGTCGTACGAGACAAATTTTTCAAGCGCGTTAATTGGCTGACAAGATAGAGAATTTCCTGGAGATTTGAGAATCTTTCTGTCCTGCAGCCAATCAACACACTCGAAAGACAACTGTATCCATGAAAGGATCGACGTAAAGTCAGTCGGACTAGAGTCCTAGATTATCAGAGAAGCGCGACCGGTGTTACGAGTCCTGATTGGACACGCAAATGGCCAATCATAAGATTGATTTATCACTATTATAAATGGTTGCCGAATAAATCAAACTTATGATTGGCCATTCGACGCCATTTTTAATATTTTCTAGTACTTTTGCGATACTGCCATAAGCCGGTTGCGCTTCTCTGATAATCTAGGACTCTTATGATTAGGTTACTCGACATTCTAGAGATAAAATAATCTTTTTTTGTATAAAATCCAAAATCACGCGGCAAATTACGCAATAAAATGGAATATTTTGATTGGTCAATTCGGATAACGCGACGCGCGACGCGCTCAGTGGGAACG